TCTATATACACTATATTGCCAAAAGTATTGGGACACCCATCCAAATCATTGGATTCAGGTGTCCCAATCACCTCCATGGCCCAAGGTGTATAAAATTAAGCACCTAGGCATGCAGACGCTTGTACAAACATTTGTGAAAGAATGGGTCGCTCTCAGGAGCTCAGTCAATTCAAGTGTGGCACTGTGATAGGTTGCCACCTGGGCAATAAGTCCATCCGTGACATTTCCTTGCTACCACGGTCAACTGTTAGTGATATTATAGCAAAGTGGAAGCAACTGGGAACAACAGCAACTCAGCCACAAAGTGGTAGGCCAGTAAAATGACAGAGCTGGGTCAGCACATGCTTAAGCGCACAATGCGCAGAAGTCGCAGCCTGTCTGCAGAGTGAATACCTACAGACCTCTAAACTTCAAGCTTCATGGAATGTGTTTCCATGGCACATCAGCTGCATCCAAGCCTTACATCACCAAGTGCAATGCAAAGCGTCGGATGCAGACGTGTTCTCTGGAGTGACTAATCACACTTCTGTGTCTGGGTTTGGCTGTTGCCATGAGAACGGTACTTGCCTGACTGCATTGTGTAAGTGTAAAGTTTGGTGGAGGGGGGATTATGGTGTGGGGTTGCTTTTCAGGGGTTGGGCTTGGCCCTTAAGTTCCAGTGAAGGGAACTCTTGAGGCATCAGCATACCAACACATTTTGGACAATTTCATGCTCCCAACTTTGTGGAAACAGCTTGGGGATGGCCCCTTCCTGTTCCAGCAGGACTGCGCACCAGTGCACAAAGCAAGGTCCATAGAGACATGGATGAGCGAGTTTGGGGTGGAGGAACTTGACTGGCCTGCACAGAGTCCTAACCTCAACCCGATAGAACACCTTTGGGATGAATTAGAGCGGAGACTGCGAGCAGGCCTTCTCGTCCAACATCAGTACCTGACCTCACACATGCGCTTCTGGAAGGTCAAACATTCTCATAGACACACTCCTAAACCTTGTGGACAGCCTTCCCAGAAGAGTTGAAGCTGTTATAGCTGCAAAGGGTGGGCCAACTCAATATTGAACCGTACGGACTAAGACTGGGATGCCATTAAAGTTTGTGTGTGTTTAAAAGGCAGACATTCCAATACTTTTGGCAATATAGTGCATCTATATATCTATCTATATCTACACATACACACAGTATATTTATATATACACACACGCGGTAGATAGATACAGACGGATAGATGGATAGATAGGATATATCTACACATACATACACCAGGGTAAAATAATAAAATGCAGTACATCTCTGCAATACATTTTCACATTGTTTATTGTTTTTTCCCTTTAAAGACTATGCTCAGAAACATAACCATTACTTTGTCAGGAATGCACTCCCAAATGCAGTTGTGGGCTGAAAAGGCACAGGGGGGAATTTATCATAGCAATTTCGAGATTTGAACTCGCATATGGTCGCATGGGATCTTTTTGCACCAGATTTATGTTGCTAGTGTAATGTTAATAAATGAGATTAAATAGACTCCAGGAAAGATGACTTGTAACTCCAGGCTTAAAGCTTAACTGTCGCAGATTTTCGCCAAAATTTTAGCCAATAGACTGCTCCCACATATCCTGGTCTGGTGCACTTGGATCAAGCGGGCTTCGTCCCGGGACGGGAGCGGAGGGACAATACTACCAGGGTGCTGAATGTAATACACCATGCCCGCTCCACCCCGTCACCTTTGATGCTCCTATCCACTGACGCAGAGAAAGCATTTGACAGGGTGGAGTGGCGCCTCCTCCAGACCACCCTTCGCCACATAGGCCTGGGCCCAAACATGTTACGTTGGATTTCTGCACTCTACTCGTCTCCGTCGGCTGCCGTCCGTGTGAATGAGGCCCGCTCTGACTTTTTCTCTATATCCAATGGCACCAGACAGGGATGCCCCCTTTCCCTGCTCATATTCACACTTACCCTAGAACCTTTCCTTTGTCACATACGATCCCTTCCCGCTTTCCACGGCTTGCTGAAAAGCTCGGGTGAACATAAAGTAGCCGCCTTTGCGGATGACCTGATATTCTTCATCACTGACCCCTCCACAACCCTCCCCATTCTTATGCGAGAGTTGGATCGTTATGCCTCCCTCTCCAACTTCAAAATAAACTTTTCCAAATCAGCTGCTCTCAATATTTCCCTCTCCCAGGCAGAGGTGGACCACCTACGCACTACCTTTCCGTTTACTTGGTCTATGGACGCCCTGACCTACCTTGGTACCTCTATCACAGCGGACCCCGCACGACTCTATGACTCTAACTTTGCCCCCTTACTCCTGAAGACCAAACAAGACCTCCTATCCTGGCATTCCTTGTCACTCTCCTGGTTTGGCCGTTGCAATGCTATCAAGATGACGACCCTGCCTAGAATCTTATACCTCTTCCAGGTTCTCCCAATCCGCATCCCACCAATATTTTTTCGACGCCTGCGCCAAATTTCACGGCTTTCCTGTGGTCCTATGCCCCCCCCAGAATCCGTGAACATGCGGTCTGTTGTTTTCCACTTACTTTTCCAATGTGATGCATAAGGTCCTCAAGGCCATACAACGCTTGTTATGTTGGGCTGGCTAGCCCTCTCATGCTCTCATTACATGTAACGTGATGACTGTACTTCCCTACCCCGAATGTGTATCGCAGACGTTATATTGTTGAGACACTGTCTCCTTATGTCATTGTACCTTTTCTGTGTATAATAAAGCTGATTCTTGATTAAAAAAAAAAAAAAAAGCTTAACTGTCGCTTCTTAAAGTGGTCATGGGGACCTCTTAAGTTGCGATTGTTTTGTTAGGTGATGCTCCAGTTTCAGACAGCTGCAGGACTAGTGCAGATGTAAACCGTTGTGAACTGTGCAATCGGGGAAAGAGTGCAAGATCTGCCAAAACAGGCGCACATGTTAAGATGGAGCAGCGAAACAGATTTGCACATTAAGAAAAATGATCTAAGAGGCTAAAACTGTCACAATTGGTTTGATAAATTCCCCCCACAGAATTTTTGTGGACCAAGTAGAGTCAGCACTGCCCAGTTGTCTTTTGCTAGACTACTCAATGCTCCTATTCGCCTCATCCTTACAAGATAGACAAATTCTGTAGTCCAAGATAAGAAACTGGGAGGGATAATTAAGTCCCTTGAGAACACAGAAATGTGCACAGGACATCTCCGAATTTCTGACATGATCAGCAGTGTTCTTTCCCGTATCAAAACAGATAACAAAATGCTATCAGGGGGTAGCAAATAAGAGATGTTTGTTTGCTGGGGTTTACACACACTTACAATTCTGATACCAAATCCTTTTCTTTTTAAATCCTTCCTGCAGTGTTTCAATCATGACTTAAGGCTGATTAGGAAATCAATTGCAGCATGTGCTCTGATAGAACGTGCACCTTTACAATAAAATGTAAAGACTAAGTTACATGAACCAGTACCTTACAGGTATTTGCACACAGGTGTGCTAAAGCTTATTGTAAAAATGAATCTAGATAATATATATCTTACATATGAATTTCAATGTCAGGGACACAGTTGCAAATAGAACCAAGCCTTTGTCTTTCTCAAGCATCAAAGATCATAAATCCTCCAACTGTAGAGGAAAACTCCATTCAGGGAAAAAAGCCACCAGCAATTCAAATTTCCAGTACTCTGTACCCCTAAAGTGAGCTAGACGTCTGTGCTAAAAAGACAGGGGACATTAAGTCTGCAGCAGACGGATTCATGAGGAATAATGGTCATTGAGCTGCAGACTCCCCCAATCCCTCAACTTCATTTATTCACTCATCTGCACTGAGAAGCACAGCGAGCCAGTAAGTGCCTGGTTCAATCAGATTATTTTTTACAAAGCCTGGAGAGGTAGTAATGATATTCACAATGAAAAATGTGGAAAGGGGAAAGTTGTAGATTGGTAGAGGGTTGTCATGTGAGGTTTTGTTTTGCCATCTCTGTCTCCGCTATGATGATTTACAGTATGCTCTCTATTTGTACTGTTGACCACTACCACAGGTACTGAATGTGAGAAAAAGCCCAAATTTTCCTTGGTTACCGAAACAGGAATAGAGAAGAAAGCTTCCAAGGAGGACACCTGTTACATTGAGAACTGGAACAGGAAGAGAGAAGAAATCTTCCAAGGAGGACACCGGTTTGAGAGGATTTGCCTCACTTTGGAGATTTTCTTTCACATCCTGATGTTTCTATTGGGCAGAACTGAAGAAAAATTTCCCCAAAAAGGGACACAGATAGGGAATGAAGGTGTTAAAGCTGACAGGTTTAAACACTTCCTTACTACAGCTCGCGGTATACTGAGACGCCGCAGCCGATCCCGACTTAGACAACGGGATCCGCCCAGCTGCGTGAGTGACAGCTGGCTCTGCCTATCTAGAGGCAGAGACAGCTGTACCCGCCCCGTCCGTTCCGCCAGTCAGCGCTGGCAGATCGGAGCGGGGAGAGGGGAATCCAGCCCCTCCCCCTGTCACGGCAGAGAGCCGTGACAGGATTGAGAGGTGAGCGAACCTGGTATGTGTTCGCTCACCTCCCGATCTACTGAGCCGACCTGTGACAGTCTCATTGTCACAGGTCGGCTAGAACTATGAGGTGAGTGGAAATCACTCATCTCATAGTTCTCCTTTAAAGAGTTGAATTACATCTTTGTGCTGCATTAACGAACGTGTATTATTATGGGTTGCATTGGGGCATTCTTTTGAACTGGTTGCCAACACACCACAGGGAACACAAACGGACATGCACTCAGCACAGTGCACCACAACACACATTTTGCATTCCATGGTATGCTGCAACACAGCTGCATTGTTTGCGCGATGGGATGGAACTCAAAATGAATGGCCCCCTAATACAAAATATCACAACACATATGTGTGAGTGGGCTACCAAGCAAAAAAAAAAAGTTTTTAATAGTCTCTTATAATTGCTTCACTGAATGGATGAAATGTAAGGGCTATGTAGTTGATGCAACACATACCTTCTGCACAAGATATACACTGGTAGCTCGATCGCTAGCCACAAAATCAAGAGTGCTACCTTCCTGGACAAAGAAACTCACATCTGCAATGTGAACTCCCACCTCAAAGTTACCTGCAAAGATGGGAAAAAAATAAAAATTGTTCAGATAAAACACAATAAGGAAACTTTTACAAAACGCTATACTGTATGTTTTACACGGACGGTTGTATAGTTTCATTTGGATTCCTAAGCTGTTGCATCACGCAAAAGTATAAACGAACACAGATTCAAGAATCAGAGCACCAAGAAACATGGGTTCCAAATGTCAAAATCATACTATAACATCAAAATCAACTATAGAAAGGAATAATTTTGATCAGAACGTTCTTACCAGTTAACATTTTGATTAGTAAACATTAATTTTTACTGCGTATTATCTAAGCGGTCTATCTAATACTGCCTTTAAATGTAACCTTTCTATAAACCTTTTTATCTATGGTCGGAGTTTTCCTAAGGATCACTCATTGACTTCTCTTTGCTCTGGAAAAATTTGGAATGATCATATGAAGTTAACTGTATTATGTGCCTTTAACTTAGAGGAGCAACAAAATACTTAAATGGCAGGAGTCTGGCCCCAAGCGTGTCACCATGACTTAACATCAACTTCCAACAAGAACTTAGTGAACTAAAAGACACATCCTTCTAAAGTCTGACTAGTTGACAGTCACAGAGGACTAAAAAACCAATGGTGTATGACAACGGAAAATAGAAACATTTACACAGACTGTCAAAAACTATTCCTTAAAAGAAAACAAATGTTGCCTGGTTGTAAGGAGCTGACATTATCATATCTTAAAAGTTTCTAGGATTAGCAGTCAATCATCAACACAGGAAAAAAAACAAAAAACATTTATATAGCGTTTTTACATATCAAGAATGCTCTTATAACCTTTTCCTTGGTAAGAGGTGCTAGTCTCCCCACAGCACCGAATTTGTTAGCCTGTGTCAGCATTACTCAGAATCCTAATTTAATAAGCCCGGTGTTATCCGCTTGAACTTTGAAAGCTAGGTTATACAACCGACAAACTGAGAACGATCTCATGACATGAGATAACAGGAGCAAGCAGCCAATCCAAACAAACTGTACGAAGGTTCAGGATATCCCCCACAGTGGGGAGCCTTTAGCAGACCCCCTGAGATCCCTGGGCCTTTAATGGAAGCCCCAAGTAAATATTTGGTTACATATATTTACATAATGTGAGCAGTTAGAACGCAGGCGAGATGACTACGCCTGAAATTTAATTTAAAAAAAATAAAATAAAGAAAAAATAATTTTTACAGCTTGATTGCTTTTCATTGTCTTAACACAGGCAATATCTTAGTGGAGAAAAGTGCAAAGAAATTCTTGTATCCTGAACCTGCTGTAAGTAATCCAGCACCACAAATTTCTATTTTAAAAATACAAGCAGCAAAAACAAATACAGGAATATCTTACAGACCAATTTATTTGCTTTAGAACACACCACTTCACAAATCTATATGGCACTAAAGGATAGTTACCGGTATTATATTTAAATGCTCACATGCAAACATAGAGCAATCCAGACAGTTATAAATAATCAAAGTTAAAGTGGACCTTTACCCATATCTTTATAATAAAAAACACACCTTTGTAATGTATGTCATTACTAAACAAAATGTTTAGTAATTACATTCTACGAACACATAATTCTAGATAATTGCCGGCTTTTTATTCTGTGCATTCCTTTATTTCTCCTTTCTTTCCCAGTCTTCTGACTGTGGTCATGTTTATTAAGGGCAGATTACTAGCTCTCCTTTTTATTCTTGGATGTCTGGCACATGTGACTAGGACATGTGACCATACACCATCTCAGGGGAGGAAAAATGCCTTTCCCATGTAATCACATGGACTGTTTATAAGATACAGGTGCTTCTGTTTAAAAGATATATCTGTGTGGCTATTTTAGTGGGGTTGGTGTTAGATCACAACCAGCTATGACTAAGGCTGAGTAAGTCAGAAACGCATCAGTGGTTGTTCTTTGTACAGATGCATGTGGAATAAAGTTTGAGAATCTTTGGAAAATCATTGTGTGCTGGTTCTAGTTTTTGAGCCCATCACTCCAGAAGAGAGTCATCCGTGCACCAGGTGTGGATTGTGGAGACGCATGATAGGGCTGAGCTGTGCACTTTGTCCTCTTAGTTCTCATGAGATTACAGATGAGATTTCCTAGCAAAGCTCTGCTGATAAGTCAATCCCAGTGTGCATTGCTTTCGCAAACTTAAGTCATTTTGCCCTTTTAAAGCAGGAAGGGAATGCTCTGCAAGCGCAAGTATTTCAAAATCACAGTATTTTACACTTGACAAGTCTGTTTAGAAAAACAATAGCAGAAATTGCAGAGTTGTACTTTATGGTGCATGCTCCATGGCATCCTTATTCTTCCTTCTTTAATTACCAAGTCAATAACCAGGACAAGAATGTTTGTATCTGATGTCCTAACAGCTGCAGTGCACCTGTTTGTTCCACGTGAGAAACTCATCAAGTAGTGAAGGCAGGATCAAGAGTACAGCCCTGAAACATGTACCTTTAAAAACAAGTTATCAATTGCATCTCCCATATTACCTTTTAAAAGGTATACCATTAGACAGTTACAAACTGTAAATATTAATATTACTTTACCTTACAAGGAATTTGTAATGGTGTTCACCCGGTCTTGTGATTCAGATACCTACGCTAACCTGCACAGCTAGGCAGATATCTGTTTTTTAGTTCCTGGGACACTTTCCTGCTCATTTGACAAAAGATAATGTGGACGCATTGTTTGACGTTTCCTTTCACGGTTTCCATTCAAAATAATTTTAATGAATACATGATTTTTCTTTTTGCCATACAATATTGGTACGTTTATATGAACATATTTTAAAAAACTGTCTCAGATGTAACTTTTTTTACATTAACCCATGAATTGTCCCACAGTGCCAGGGGATTAAGACTATGGAAAACATTGAGGAACATAAATTCCATATGGCAATACTCCAAATCACACGTTACATCATGTAGCTGTCATGTGATGCAATGGCACTGGAATCCTTGTGTATTGAATGTAGACATCTGGGGTGCAGAATACTAGGTAATGACATCACTGCTGAACTGCTACACATGAGGCACTGGGTGCAGATGGATTGTGAAGATAAAAAGCAAAAGACTTTAACACTTAAGTGCTGACTTTGCTTTTTCCCTTGTACTGCTTGCCTGGCAGGTTATTCAGCTAACCCGGCAGTTGGCATACATTCCAAGCTTCCACTCGAAATTCGTCCAGTACAGCTGTCTGAGTCTGGCGCTAGAAATCTCAAAGCTGCACAAGCTAAACTGCAAACTAAAATTAGAGACCATCCGAAAAATTCTACGTTAGCTTTTCTGGGTCATTAATTTACTAATAAGGTTGCTGCTCGATGTTGATCTTAATGCTTTCACACGACATGTAGAAGAAAAGCAACGTAAAATATAACTTATCTTGTCCAATCTTAGGAAACCTTGACTTAATAGTTGAAAAAATATTCAGACAATTCTTTACGGTCAGACAAATATGGCAGCTGTTATTGCAGACTTCTTTCTGATCATGTTAGTAAGTTCAGCTTCACGCTGACCATAATGTATTGCTCTGACTTTGCTTGTTGAATTCACACTGCAAACCTTATTGAGCCTAGAGACAGCCAGACAAACTAGCAGTTCCAGAAAGAGTCAACTATAGCTTACATATTTCTCACTGCAGGTTATCTTGCCAGAAGAAAAATTGACAGGTATAGGTTTGAGGCCACAACCTGGCCTACGCATCAATCAACAATCCTAAACCTAATATACTCAACATAAATAATAAAGCCATACCATCTGGTAGCAGTTTGCAAGATAAAGCATCATCCAGGTCTCTGGCTGTGGCTGGATCAATGGTAAATATGCATTCATTCCTAAAGGGATAACAAAAAAAAAAAAAAGGTACAACATTTACTCATTGCATATATTTAAGACAGGAATCAGGTTCTATACCTGAACCTTACAAAAGTGGTACTAATACCCTAACTTCTCTACGAACAGGTACAAAAGCACTGGCTTTTGTAAAACAAGTAGTGGTGCAATGCTTGGAGGCCATACAAATGAATTTGCCGTCACCTTACCATCAACCCTTCCCATTTGTCCAAAAACCACCACACAAACCAAATATCCAAGTATTAAAAAAATACCCAACAAATAATATCAAAGAACTGGATGAGACTCAAAACTTCTAAAACTAAAAGAACTCTAATATGCAAACAGCACCTTCTGTTCCTGAAAACTCACTTGGCCTTGCTCTTTTCCCAGCCTCTAGAATGAACAATAAGGCTGCCCATCATAAGGATGGACAAGGAGAGAAAAACTAAAGCTACTGTATAATAGAACTGTAGATATATTACACTAGATTTCTTCTGACTTGCAACTCAGAAGTGCATTTGATTTACCCAAGAGTTGTTGTTTTTTCTGATGGCTGATCAGCATCTAAATTTGACCTAGAGTTAGAATTATCCATCTTACACAAGCGTGTACAAGGGTGGTAAACGATTTCAGCCATACTGTCACAGAAATCATTTCTTACAAGAGGCAGGCTTGCTATATTCAAGACTAGACAATTGTGTGCGATTGCACACACATAGAAAGAGCTAAAAAGGAAGAGTGAATGAATATATAGAAGAATGTAAAAACAACACTATAAGAGTGATTACTGTTCACTTATTTTTATGGCGGTGTGACCTCTCAACTAGACAAAAAAAAAGGATTGTTTCCTCTCCATCTCTATTCTTACAACCCCCCAAGTTCTCTTCAACTTCTTACAACCCCATCCCTCCCCGTATTTTTCTCCTCGATATCCCTGTTACAGTCCCCATCTCCCCCCCAGTTTTTCCTAATTGTACTTTTAGTACACTGCATGAAAGAATTTACAATCATAATAACATTGTGTATGCTTGCTGTTTGGTTCAAAGGGGTGAAATGGGTCTTTCTGTCCTTGGACTCGTGTTTGTTTTGCATGTCAAGTATTATCAACCCTAATATCTTTACTTCATTGCGTGAATGTACTAACCATGTGAAAAGAATATGCTGTACGATGTAATGTTTATGCTATTGTTTACTTTTACTGCTTAAAAGCAAAATAAAAATTGATTACATAAAAACAAACATACAGTGAAAGATAATACAGGAAACATGAAAATCAAACTATAGCTATTAACTATATAGGTGAACAGTAGGCCTGAAATCGTCACAAACTAGTCTTGAATATATCTGATGTCACTACAGTGTTATGAGGTCTGCTACTTCCCCCATTTACAATAACTATGGATTTCTTTTCACCTCTAAAATCCATCAGACTTTGGGACACCATCCACTGACAACAATGTCTTAAATGTAGATTCAACTGTCATCAAGAACTGAAAAAATAGCTTGAAGATAGAAATAATATTCCAAGGCCACTTTCTATTACCTGTTGCTGGCCTTAAATGGTGGTGCTTTGCCACAGGTTTCTACATTATCTAGGCACAGCATTACTGCTCAGAGGAAGCATGAATACAGATTACAGAATACAGATTTCACGGTCTGTCTTCTTTTGTTGGCAGGTTAAAGGTAAGCAGTTAGGGCTGCTGAGAGCTCCAATACAGTACTGGCAAATGCCATTGCCCAGTAATGGGAAGCAGTGTTAGTTCCAGTTACTCATTACTCCTCTACAGTATATGAAGAATGAGGTTACATAGGTAGTCAGGTTGGGAAAAAAAAAGACACAAATCCATCGCGTTCAACCTACAGAGAAGAGGAAAAAAAAAACCCCTATAAACAGATGCTATGCCCACAGTTACCCACAGTTGATCCAGAGGTGATCCAGAGGAAGGTAAAAAAAAACAAAAAACACCAAAGACTCAATAAAGCAGGGGCGCCCACAATTTTTTGTGTTAAGATCAACTTTTTATATGACCAGCTCAGTGAGATCTACCAACGAATGGCCCCGCAATGCACCTCCTACAACAAAAAACACAGGGTAGGTGTGATTGCGATGAACGCACTGTACTATTATGAATGGGCCCTTAGTTAGACCTAGCACTCTTATTAGAGGAGGTAAACTATGGGACTATTACCTGTAATGGTAAAATAAAACCCATTACCTATAATTAAAAAAAACAAAACTAACGCTCCTAATCTCAGTCTAAGTTAGGGCACAGTCCTGTTAGGTGGGGGCAGTCTGTTAGGTGGAGTACACGGCTGTGTACAGTGGGTAGAGATAACAGGCTGCGGTACACAATGCCCCCTCCCTCTGATAAAGACCACCACTCACCCTGCCCGGGCAGGATTTGTGTCCAAGGGATCGGATGCACCCAGCCACCAGCAGCTGAGCTCCCAGATAAACGGAGCAGCTAATTCCAACTTGCGATCAAGATCTACCAGAAATAGCTTTGCGATCGACCGGTTGATCGCGATCAACCTTTTGGGCACCCCTGCTATAAAGCATGGTTCAATTTGCTCCAACAGGGGTTAAAAATTTCTTCCTGACTTCCTGTTCCAGCTCCTAATGAGAAGCGGTGTCCTGTACCGCTCCGTCTGTCGATCATTACAGCACAATCGACACCCGTTGTCACCAGGAGCTGAATGCTCGGGTGACTTACCCCTTACCTCTAATATAAACGACAAAATCAAGCGCACTGCCAAGGAGTACAAACTGAGGTTTGTTTTAATCTTAGGGTGGAGGGTGCAGTGTGCGAGCTCTATTGAAACAGAGAGAGGAGCCCTGTGGTACAACAGAATAAAGAATGTATTGAGAGCGCTACAACTGTGTTGAAATATGCCGGAGGACTCACATTTAGGAAGTCATCTGCGGGAAGACATCCGGTTTGGTGTCTAGGTGAAAACAGCCCTGGAGGGTCCAGTATTCTGGTGAGTGATCTGCCTCTGTCACCGAGCGCTGGGAACGGAGGGACACCAGACTCTTGCACGGACTCAGCTGGCCAGGCTGAGCCGCTGTGGTCAGGGGCACTGTATGTCTGAAGCGCTGTGTGATGTCGGCTTCCTGTCAGTAGGCTCGGGAGGCAGAGCGGTGGTTCGTGTGGCGGCTCGGGAGGCAGGTGCCGGCGGGAGTGATTGCGAGGTCAAAGGAGTATCGAGGACTGATGCAAACTGGGTCAGTAGCTACGCGTTTCGAGGCGGAGCCTCTTTGTCAAGCTGTGATCGGCCAGAAAAGTGGAGATTGCGGGAGAAACTTGGGTTTAAAAATGACAGCTGGGCAGAGTTAGGATCTCAAAAACCTTCCTAATAGGTAGAATTGTGAGAAGGGGAGTATGTTAATACCCACCCACTCAATTAGGAAACAGCACTTGCGTGGCTCAAGGGTATAGAAGGAATACATCTAGTATTATGTTATGGAAACATGTAAAAAATAAAAAAACGGATGTCAAAGCTAAAATTCATCATTTATTATAAGTCTAACATTGTTTTTTAAAAATAGATAATTGAATAAAAAATGGTGAATAAAAGTATCCAATGTTGGTGGAACATTGAACACTGGGGGCAATTTAAAAGAACCTCACCCATCTAGTGGGATCTGGTGATGTGAAATTAAAGACAATAAGAGATGGAAAGGATCTAGATGGTGGTGTGCCTAGTGTGCAAATCAGATTTAAAAAAAAATAAATTAAAATTTTTTAAAAAAATTGTATTAATTTTAATTTCCTCTTACCCCTTACCTCTGATTGCCATGGAGACATTTGTGTCGATCGCAGCCGCTGAGGCGCTCTCTTCTCCCCTCAGAAGGTGACAGTAACCCGTCCAAGATGGCGGATCCAGGAGACCTGCAGCCCATGCTGCTCACAGATTCTGCTGCCGAGTCACCTTCCACGCTTCTCACCGCATCAATAGACTATCAGGCTCTAGCCTCCCCAATGGCTTCTTATTTGAGAACGGATATCAAATCCACAATCGCCCAGCATCTGGGCCCTATAAATGTGAAAAGTATCCAAGCTGCTGAAAATAGATAATCGATGTGAAGCAGCGGTCGCCAACCGGTGGTCCACGAGAACATTTTGGTGGTCCGCAATTGCTCCCCGGGCCCCTCTGATGCTGTGCCGTCATTGAAGCTGGGCTGCCTCCCAATGACTCGAGCAGCGGCTGTCACAAGGAATACACGGCTCTTGTTCGGGGGGGGGGACAATTAATATTATTACTGGGGCGGGCAGCACCACTGCCTCCCTCCACCAGCACTGCCACTCTTGTAGGCACACCCGCACCTATGTATGCATGTATGTGTATATATACATACTGTATGTATATATATTCTCATATTTTTTCTTTCCTCATATATAAATATATTCTCGTGTGCGTGTATATGTCGCTCTCATTACACACACACACACACATATATCTATCTATCTATCTATCTATATTAAAATTCATATTAGTGGTCCACAGGATTTAAAATTAGGAATTTAGTGGTCCACGATGTCCGAAAGGTTGGCGACCGCTGATGTGGAGGACCTCGTTCACTCCATGCAACTTACTAATGAGCGCACTTCTGAATCTGTACAACAAATCCTGGACAAAACTGATGATCTAGAAAACAGATCATGCCGAAACAATCTACACATAGTGAGTCTCCCTGAATCTGTGCCACCAAGGGAACTCACTAATTACTGCTCTGTTGTGATCCCACAAGCAGCGGGCCTATCAAGTGCATGCAAAGTAGAATGTGCACACAGGATTGGTCCGCCTAAAGATCACCAGAAACCGAGACCGGTGATTGTTCTTTATTTAAGATTTCTCAGACAGACGCCATTTGCTGCAAGCTTACCGTACTCAACGTCACTTGATTACTGGAGGCTACAAATTACTTTTTTGCCAAGCACTCGGCTGCACTCACGAAGCAAAGAAGGCCATTTTAGGAAACCTGCTGCTTGCATGT